CGCTCGGCCCCGCCTCCTCCCGCGCGCTGCCCCACGCGTGCGCTACCGCCATGAGCGTTAAACGAAGCGTAACTTCAGAGGTTTTAATTGTAAGGTTTCGTAGTAAAGAAACTGGTCCTAGAAAGCGTGACGCTGCTCACCGACCGCTTTGCAGCAGCGCAGGCGGCTGATGGCGACGCTCCTTGCGTTAACCAAAGGAAATACGGGGGGTGGGGAGGAAACACGCAGCCCACGCTACAGAAAACCGGGGCGGGCGTCTTTGAGGGAGAGAAAAGCCTGCAGCCTGCCGTCAAAGCCCGGCGGCCGGCGCCGCGGCTCCTTGTAGGGTCCGGCCATGGCTGCCCCCAGGTAGGGGACGAGCTGGCAGCGTTCCATCAGCTGCGCCAGCTTCCTCCGGTACATCTGCCGCGCCGGCGCCGAGCTCCTGGGGTTGTGCGCTGCAAGAAGTTAAGCGGGATGTTAGTGTTCCCTGTTAACTTTGTGGAATTACATCACACAAATTTTAAAAGGGATCAAGCCTACACCTGCTGGTTTTATCCTTGGTACTGATAAAACTGCCATGAGTGTCGCCCATTGGTGCCCAACCAACAAATCAAGGCGGGTACTTTAAAGTTCCTAACCCCAAAGGGGTACTGATACTCAGAAGGATCACTGAATCACGGTGATTGAGGTTCAGGAGAACGGTTCAGGTTGGAAGGCACCTTAAAGGTCATCGAGTTCCAACCCCCCTGACATGGGCAGGGACACCTGCCACTAGATCAGGTTGCTCAAAGCTTTTGCAAACAAAGAAACAACAAACATGCACTCGACTGCCATTGACTTCCCATTCCTCGGGCTGAGAGGGGCTGGTGATACTCCAGGCAATGGCAAATTTGGCTAACGGGGCACATACCCCAAAATGGTTCTGTGTGGGGATAGCCCAGCCACAGCATGGCTGGCGCTGGCCTGCTACGTGCTATGTTGGCACAGTTGTTCTACGGCCTAATGCTTTACCCATAAAAAATAAAGAGCTGACATAGTTCAGAGGAGGAAGAAAGTATCAAGGCCAAGAGTTTCGCAAAGAGGATAGTATTGTTTCTTTTCTTTTCTTTTTTACCTCTCTGCCCTATCTCATTACAAAAACTGGACTCCATGAAGAACTGTGCTGTGAGACACTCCAGCCTTCCAGCTTTAAATTGTATACAACTGCATTCAACAGCTTCCGAGTGGTTTTTAAAGCATAGCTGTACGTAGATCTCTTGCAGCAGTCAAGTTTGAAAGGGCACTAAATCACTCTAGTGATGTATAGTTTCCTACTCTTTTTTTCCAGGAGTAAATCTCTCTGCATTTATGATTGATCACCTATATCTTCTCTTCTCGGATACTGAAAGCAGTCCAGTATTGTTAGAAAAGCTGCAGGAGCAACTGAAACACTGTTTCTTGGCCCCTATTTAAATGTGAGATTATAGAGTGATATAAGTTGAAGCTGAGAAAGTCTTACTTCAGACAGAAATAGGATGTAAAAAATTTCCAAGGGACCACAGCATGAAGCACTTTGATCAAGTTTTTGATCAAGGATGGTGTGATTACTCTGAAGAGACAGACAGTAATAAATGCTGCATTTGCAAAAGAGATTTTTCAGTGTACTGGAATGCTGTGTCTGAAAGCTGGAAGCAGTTCTACCCAGTGTTAAAAGAAGATTACTCATTTGCCAGGATTCCTATGTCAAACTGTTCATCACTGCATGAGGAGAAGAGATTTGTGCACTTGCAAAACCTTTCCAGTTCATCATCCAGTGCTAAGAATGATTTAATGATGCAATATATGAGCAAAGCATTCCTAGCGTGGACATTGTTATGTTAGCAAAGCTGTGCTAACAAAAGAATGAAAACAGCCTTTTGTGGATGAAACAAACTACAGTATAAAAGCAGTTCTGCTGGCTTAAGAACTGTACATTTATACAGGGGCTTATCATGTGCCTCCACTGTTCAGTGGTCTTCCTTAACAAAGCTATGCTAGCAAAAATCTGTGATGGTTCAAGAAAATTCTGGAGGGCTCTGGAAACTGCATGAGGAAAGACAGGATGTGATGAACTTCAGACAAATAATAAAGATGGTCATTATCGAAAAGAATAAGTAAGAATTGTAAATAACAAAAGGCAAGGTAAAGTTCACCCACCAAACAGGTTGGCTTATAAAAAGCAAAACTGGTGGGCTGAAAAAGCAGCAGTCTTGCTCTAGAAACCTCCAGCAGTACTGGAAACCAGACCAAAGCTACAGCAGAGCTGTAAATTAGACTGTTCACATCCTGAAAGCTGACAGTATTTAGGCTGATTGCAAACTGTTATATATTATTAGCTGCAACTGCTATCTTGGACTGCAAAAAACCCCAAGCAGAAGTTCTAAAAAATAGCAAATATGAACACAGGAGACAAAGCTGTGACAACCTTCCTCAGTGAAGTAGTTCTAACCTCTGGTAGCACCATGAAATGTTTTGCTTTATCATTATTTTGTGGGCTGAGTACAAATGACCTAATTTTAATTTTGGACTGTTTATCTTTGTTATGGAAAAGTAAGGTGGTTGATTGGGCTGTTGATTAAATAAAAACAGTTTAAAATAATCAACACACTGATGCTCTGAATCACATCAATAGTCAGATCTTCCCAGATGATTTCAGAAGTAAGCAGACTGATAAATAATGTTTCATTTCTCTGTGCTAAAAACTTAAAAATCTAATTAAATCTGCATGGATATCTGTTGTTTTGTAGCGTGTAACAGTGTACCGGTACTGAGCCCATGCAAAAGAAGGGCTTTTTTTGAAAATAACAGGTGTCCTGTGTTCACTTAGGCTGTTTTTCAATACAAACAGGCCTCTCATTTACATATTTAGCTGATGTGTTGGAGATGTGTATGATCAGAAAGTTGTCTTCAGGTTACCTGAAAGGCAAGGTTTGTTAATAAGTTCTATTTGACCACCTGATACAGTTGAAAAAAAGGCAAGCATTTCGGTACCTAAACCATTCCTCAGGTAGTATTTCAGCAGACTTTTATTACAGTAATTTTAGTCAATTTTTAAGACAATTCAGGTTGTCTAGGTCTAGTTTAAAATGTAGTACCACACAGATTATAACATTTTACTTTCCATTTAAAAACTCCAACAGTGCATGTTGGAAATGTTTTCAAGGCCATCAGGTTGTTGCTGATAAAGTGTTGTTAAAGTTTCATGATTTGTGAGAGATCGTTTACCTATCTACCTATCCTATTAACCTTATTTTCCTCCCTGATCCTTATACATTTCCAAGAAAGTTGACAGTGTGTACTTAGTTCAGTACATAATAGTATTTTCCTAAGTTGGATATAAGAAAACTACACAGATTGATTATCAGTGTTGTATCAGATGGTTTACTGCATTTATATAATTCATTATTTTTATAGCGTATTACTTTATACGTTACCTTTTAAATGGCATGCGACAAATAGCAGAGCAGTTTTTTTTACACTTAGGAATGGAAACTTTGGCTTTAAGCAGCCTACTTCATTCAGAGCTTTTATTAGAGAAGTTGCTGCTCCCTAAAGAAAGAAAACAGTTTTAGAAGACCATTACAGAAATCTAGAACAAAAATATGTTCAAAGCCTGATCTGGTTGTCATGCAAATGTAACAATATAGAATGATATCTAAGTTTGTAAATTGGAGAAGATAACAAATAGTATAAAATAGGGAGGGAAGTGACCATGAATAATTTTTTACTTAATATTCATGTCTCAAAATGTAACCAGCTATCCTTAAATGATTCCAGGTAGGCTTGTGTCTATCCTGGTGTTAATCAAAGAAAAATGTAATCTTACAAGATATGATAAACAAGAGTCATAAAATCCTTTCTATAATATTGCAGTTTATTATTACCCTCTGATGGCCTTATTTGCATTTTTTCCATTAAAGCTACAAATATACATTATTTTAAAGCTTTTAAAAAAATTCCTCTCAGTTGTATGTACACAATTTTCAATTTAATATAATCCCATTAATAAACATTAGACTCATATTGCATTAAAAATGAAATAAACTGGGTGGGATATACTATATATTGCAAAATCATGTTTTGAAATAGAAAAGCAAAAACTGGCCTGTTCAAGGTATCCAGCCAAAGGAAGCGCAGTGAGTAGTATTGGCTTCTTTATTGGAGGGAGTTTACGTGGAAGCTTCAGATTCCAGTACTTCTCTGGTAACCTAACCAGATAAAAAGTAAGTGCTTTTATGATGTATAAGCAGTGACGTGATTAAAGATTAAAATGCAGTTAGTATATTCACCTCATAAACTTCAGAAGTTTTTCTTCACTTTCAAAAATATATAACTTATCTTGATATTTTGCTGCATACTCGATGTTGCCAGGCACCAAAGCTTCATATCTGAGAAGACAGAGCAAGAAAAACTATTAATTCACAGGAAATGTAAAACATCATTTGTGCAATGTAAATTCATGAGCTACTGGGAGCCTTCTGGTAATTTAGCAATATGGGAACTACAAAAAAGTAGCAATTGGATCATCCAGGTTTCCACCATGTGACTGACAGTTAAAAGGCTCAAAATCTAAGAGAGTCTCTGCTTGAAGATCTCCTTATTAAGGGGCTTTTATAGTGCTTCTGTAGAGCTCCTCTAGTTAAGATGCCAATTGTAGTTCTTCAGAAAATTAAGAAGGGACAGCATAAGATTGGCTATTGTGGTTCTACCTTGATGAGAAATTTCTGCACACCGAGGAAATCAGTGGGATTTTATGGTGGAGCTTTATGGATCTCATAAAAATCATAATAGCTAGTTTTATATCTACTAAGGTTTTGTGAGATTTGTTTGAACTTTTGAAGGCTTATGATAGAGAAGAGTCGAAACTATATCCAAGCAGTCTTCACCACAAAATACAGTAAGCCAACACAGATCCTTGGAGAACCTGTAGCCACATGAGTTTCAAAAGGTGATTTTACATTGATTTCCAAAGCCACAGGCACAATGTAGAGAACTGCTTTTCCTGTCCAAACCCTGAACACTATTAAAAAGTACTTTGAAAGTGTTTCCTCATTAATGTGTTAATATAGGACACATAGCCTGTAATTCAGATGGTGAAAACTGCAGTGATGTACCTCTGTTTTCCATCTAGGTAAGTGACTGGACAGTGCCCCTGCATTTCAGCCCTTACAGGGAATAAGGCCTTCACATCTGCTGCAGTCAGTTTCTTTGGTAGCATCTCTGGGGGTGGGAGAGGGTGAGGTGCCAGTGGTGGCACATAAACCTCTGGTCTGCTCAAGAATTTCTGTAGAAAAAGAAATCAGATGTTTTTGTAATGAAAGAAGTACTGTAAGGCTGTTAGTCAAATTCCAGAGGACTAGCTCACACAATTTAGATACTTGTTTCTTCTACACCTCTCTTACTGTACTGGCACTGCTGCTGCTCTTGGGTAATTTATTTGCCAACCCACACTCAGTTGAAGTCATCACTATCCACCCACCATCCATCACTGTCCATTGCTATCATTAGACATTCTCTACCCCCAGTCTCCCCAAAACAGATGGAGAAAAGGAGGAAATAATTGTTTTAAAATGAATATTTGATCTATGAGAATCTGTAGTAGGAACTTTGGTTTGAATGGACCCTCTGCTGCATTTTGTCTGCCTAGATGTTTGATAGCACAAGTATACAGAACAAAAGCTTGAATACTACCAACACTAGTCTTAGTTCAGAGTGCACACTGCTTGTTTCTGTATGGAATCAAAGAATCTAAGCAACAATGTTGCCTCTTCCCGTTAATCCCCTCTCGACCTGCTTTTTGACCTGCTTTTTGACACTTACGTCCAGTTCTTCCTGTGAAGCCATTTTGTAATAGTGTCCTCGAAATTCTGCAGCGAACTGCAGTGATGGTGTTACAGAGCAGTCAACCAATTCACCCTTTTCTGCGAGGCTGACGGGACAGTACTGTCCAAACTCCCCCAGCCGATACCGCAGCTCTGTGGGACTGATGCATAAATCAGCAATGCCGGCTGCTTTTCCTGTTAATAAAACAAGTAATGATAAAGTTTAATTAATGAAATACATGGAAACATCAATCATTTATATTCAGAAATGTTATAGTTTACAAGATATTATAATTTATCATGTGAAAATTATATGAAATAATGAGAATTAAGATAGCAAATTTTATAGATTGATATTAAAGTTGCGATTTTTCTAGCACATCAGAGTTATAATAATTAATTATGTGGGATACTCCGCATGCTTAACTTATTAGTCTGTTTTCCTTGAGACAGTTTTATTTATGATTTATTGTTTTACTCCTTTGTGATGCTAAGGAACATTTCAACTATTATCTTATTTTTTTACATTGGCAAAAAAGAGTACATGGTGTGATGAAAGCCCCCCCCCCCC